GGCTTCTTAGAAGGAGGCTGCTTCTTAGAAGGCGCCGGCCTTACATCTATAGAGAAAAGCCCGCGCCTTCGAAGAAGCAGGGGTGCTTCTAAGAAGCCCTCCCCCCTCCCCCCACCCCCCTCTGCGCGTGGCTGAGTGGTGTTGGGCGTTGCTTAATGGGGGGGTCACAAATGGGGGGGTCAGAAAAGGTCCCCTTTCGTGCCCCTTTCGGGCCCCTCCAGAGCCCCAGGGGGCTCGTTTGGGTACCGTTTGGGTACCTTTTCGGACCACCCTCGCCACCCCCCCATTTATGACCCCCCCATTACGCAACGCCCAAGGTGGTACCGATGGAGGCAGGCCGGTGCATCGCACGCCTCCCGCAGCCCGGGGCGTGCTGCTATACGCCTTCGCCCGGCACCCTGGCTGGCGGGCTTCCCCGACACGGGCGAAACGCTCGCCCACTGGATGCGCTGGCACCCGCACGGACAAAGATCGGGGAGACGTAAGACCCGATGCCCGCGGCATGGTCGAATGCCAGCGGCGGGGTCGCCGCTGGGTCGCCGGCGGCATGGTCGAATGCCAGCGGCGGGGTCGCCGCCGGTCGGCACGGCGCCAGCACGACGCGCGGCGGGGTCATTACCCGGTGTGCTGCATGACCCTCGGGGCCCGGCGGCTGCGGCGCGCGGGGGTGTGCGCGAGGCAGGTCGAGAGCCCTTCGTGCTCTCGAAATTCAGGGGGACGTAAGACCTGGGCACGGGGGACTCGGAAATCCCCGACGAGGTCGTCAAAAAAGTGACGAGGCCGAGCCTGCATTTTGACGAGGCCTCCCGCTGCAGACATCCCACGAAACTCCTCCTCGTCAAAATCCGAGGCGCGGTCGTCAAAAAACGATGGCGAACCCGAGTCCCGGCAAACCCGGGTCTTACGCTCCCCCGAAAAGAAAGAGGACCCTCCGCAAACCGCCCTGCTGTGCCACAGAAGACCCTAAGACAGAAGACCCTAAACAGCTCCTGCGAGCACGAGAGTAGCAACCACAGAGAGTACCAAACGGGAGGATGAGAATAGAAAGAGAGAGCTCCAGGGAGTACTAAGTAGGAACACCAGAAGGCCATGAAGGGAACCGAACGGGAGCCCACAAAAACGAATGGAAACCATACTGGAGACCACTGGATGCAGTGGCATCCGCACGGACCGCACGGACAAAGAAAGAGGACCCTCGGCAAACCGCCCTGCTGTGCCTCTGCACGGCGCCCCGCCCGGCGGTCTTCCGTGACACGGGCGACGCCCCCTGGATGCACCGGCAGCCGCACGGGCAAAGGCAGAGGGCTCTCGGCAGATCGCCCCCGCCATGAGGCTCCCCGCGGCAGCAGCAACGACAACCATCATTTTAGGACTGTTCGCTCTCACCGGCGCGCGTGTCTTGCATTCCATACACGCCAACCCTCGACACCCGCCCACTTCGTCTTCGATTGCACCCCCTGTCGGGGGGAAGCTCTTCCTTGTCGGCCACTGCCTGAAGGGCGATTTGTCCTCGAGCGAGAGCGCCGTTCCTGAGTTCGGGGGCCTCTCTGGCCAAGGGCTCTCGGAATTCCTAAGGAGAAATATCGAACGGGAGCCCTTGTCGCCGTGTCCGGGCCTCCACCAACTTGCCTGAGTTACGGGAAAGTCTCGAGCGAGATCGCCGTTCCTGAGTTCGGGGGCCATTTTGGCCAGGGGCTCTCAGAATAAATCGTGAGGGAGTATCGAGCAGGAGCACTTGTCGTGGCTGGGCCTCCGCCAACCTGACTGAATTGCGAGGAAATCTAGAACGAAAGCGCCGTTCCTGAATTCGGGGGCCTCTCTGGACAGGGTGTCTCGGGGTAATTTGTGAGGACGTATCGAGCGGGACCCGTCGCCTGAGTAAATTGGGAGGAAATCTCAGACAGGAGGGGGGGAGTCCTGAGTAAGTTTGGAGGAAGTGTCAAGCGAAAGCCGTCGTTGTTGTAGCCTGGGGGGCCAGGGGCCGAGTTTGACCACCAACACTTTCCCTGTCGAAAAACAGGGTGCGAGCGCGAGGGGCACACTTTGACTGAGAAAAACAATCTGCACCAGTGAGGGGGGATCAACAATAGTTATTCTCCAGAAATAAGGGTTCAAGAGCACGCGGAGGGGAAGTGCAGCAGCGAGAGGCCGACGAGAGCCTGTGGAGGACCAGAGCGATGCCACATCCCTCGAGGTGGGGAGCACGGACCAGGTTGCCGAGGCCGCTTGCGCGCCTGTCGAAGAGTTGGACGCTACGGCTGTGGGCAGTGGCTCAGAACAGAACCGTGGCAGCAGCATCAGATCCCGCGACCGACCTGCCCATGCAGCACTACCAACGCCCTCTGCCAAACAGTTTCACAAGCCCCGCCCCAGTGGCTCGCCCGCCAGGAGCCCTAAAGTGCTGGCACAATTAAAGGGGCCCCAGGACACACAAATAAATACACACAAATAAAAGGATTCCCCATACTTTCCCATATGTTCGGGGTTTCTGTCTTCCCCCCCACTTCCCATATGTTCCCATACTTTCCGGGGAGTCGACGATAAAATTGTGTCTCTGTGTTATTTTTTCCCTCCTGAAGAATGCCTGGCGCGTCCGCAGATGGTCATTGCAGGCTCCACCGCCTCCAAGGAGCTTAGGGGGTGGGGAGGCGGCGAGCCCCGTCGACCCGAGCTGCCAAAGGGCCATCCCCATCGCGGAGCCAGGTGCGCCCGCAGGTGCCGACCTGGGCCCTGCAGCGGCCGCTCCGAGCGCGCCCCCGCAGGGCCGCGCGGGCCCGGGCCAGCTCGCCCTTGACTCGTGGCCTGGAGAGTGTGGGCCGCACTGGCCAACGTGAAGAAGCGGCGACCATCGGTTTCGCCGTGTGGTTGTGCACTGCTCGGACGTTTCCGCTCGGCCACTGGACATCGTTGGTCCTTCTCCACCTCGGTCTGCAGACCTCAGAGCGGCTGGCGCAGAGCAAAAGCGCAACCACAGAGCCAGATCGTTACGCATGACGCCCATGTGGGCGGTACCCGCGAACATGATATGAGCGGGGGTCACGGCCTCACTGATCACGTCGTCCTCCCCGCTGTTGCACGAAGCCACAACGTCAACCAACGACTCTGCGCCTAAGCTTCGGCGCGTGATGGTGGTGATGAAAGGACTAGGGGCGAAGAGGGTAGGGTGGGAGAGTCTTGCTATATTCAGATGGGAAAGGAGCGGACATGGAGAAGAAGGTCGGAGGCATCAGGGGTGAAGGATGGAAGGATGGAGTGTAGTGGAAGGAAGGATGGCAGGGGGAAGGAGATCGGACGAAATACGACTCAGACGAGGATGACAGGAGGCAGGACAAGAATGAGACAGGGACTAGAGAGGCAGCGGTGGCCATGCGCAGACGCAGGAACGCGAGCGCGAGCGCGAACGAGGACGAAAGCAGGAGGGACCGAGGGGGAAGGGCAGCAGCAAGGGGACGAGGAGCGAGGATCCGCAAGGGGCGGCAGAAGGCGGCGCCGGCACGGGACCCGCCCCTGCCCCAGCGGGACTACTCCGCGCCGCACGCCACAAGGAAGGGAGAGCCCGGCGGAGGCGACGACGAGGCCCCCGGAGGCACCCGAACAGAGCCCGAGAGCTCGCGCGCACGGCCCCGGATGCCCCCCCCCCCTTTGAGGGGCAACGATAGGGGGGTGTCCAAGAGGGGGGGGTGCAAATCATGACCGGCGGCATGTGCGCGGCCCAGCGGGTGGGCCGGGGGCGTATTGAGATAAGAAGAGGCGCCATGAAATCTGGGGAGATATCATGGCCCACGCCATGATATCCACCCCCCCTAGTCATCACCCCCCTCTTTTCCGCCCCCGATTTGAGGGGCAACGATGGGGGGGAAGCATCGACCTGGAAGCGGCGATACATCGCCGATAGATCGGCGACGGGCCTCCGATAGTGAACTCGCACCTGCATGGGCAGGTGAGGGCTATCGGGCTGCTGTCGACGATCGATGGGCGATTGGGGGTTGATGCATCCCCCCCTGTGCCTATCCCCCCCTGTCGTCGCCCCTGACCCTTCCGGCACCCCAGAGGGGCAGCGGAGTGCCAGGGGCACGGGACCGCTTCGCAAGAGAAGCGCTTCACCCCCGACCGCCTCGCCAGGGCACGCCTCGCGGGGGCGAGGCGGTCCTGGGCGGAGCGGTCGGGGTCGAAGCGGCCTGGGCAACGAGGTCTGGGGCGAAGGGGTCCCTGGGCGAAATCGTTCTACCCCGCGCCGGGGACGACCCTCGGGGATCTACTGACCCGGGTCAATCCAAACCAGGGTCAGTTGGCGGCGCGCACAAGGGGGTGGAGGGAGGGGGGATGGCTTCACAAAAGGAGGCTGCTTCTTAGAAGGTGCGGGCCTTACATCTATGGAGAAGGCCCGCGCCTTCTAAGAAGCAGGGGTGCTTCTAAGAGGCCCTCCCCCCTCCCCCCACCCCCCTCTGCGCGTGGCTGAGTCAGTCAAGTCTAGCAAGATCCTGAAAGATCCTGCCAGATCCTGCAGGATCCTGCGCCCCAGCCCGGGTCAGTGCACCTCTGGCCCTGCAGGATCCTGCAAGATCTGGCGCTCTGAATGACTCCCGTTTGCATTGGCCCCCACCTCTTGAGCCCCAACACGAGGATAAACTCGGGTGAAGATTAATCGAGAACCTCTGAGATCCGGCAGCTCTGGGTCATGTCCCGGGCGCCGCGGCCTTCCCAGATCCCTCCCCGGACACTCCGAGAGCGTCCAGGCCCAGGCACGCCCGGGAACGGCCCTGAGATCCGACGTCTCGAAAACAGTGAGACATCGTGAGAAATCACAGCTGGAGCCCGGACCCCACCTTCCGTGCGCCATTCCTCGAGCTGGATCCGTCCGTGCGGGCCCGGAGGCCCGAACAAAAAGTCGAAAAGGTCCGGCTCGAAGACATTGAGTCGCCAGGATCTCCGGGGGATTTCTCCTCGTCCTGGCCCGGTCCAAATTCTACCCCGCGCCGGGGACCCCCCCCCCACGGCGCCTCCGCCTGCCGGCTCGCCTTCAGCTTGGCCTCGGCCTCGGCCGCGCGGCCGCGGCGCCGGGCGCTGTCTCGGCGCCGCGGGCGTGCGCCCGAGGCTGCGAGCGAGTCGGGCGTGCCCCTCCACAGGAGGAGCACTCCAAGTAATAAGAAAAAATAGTCTGGGGGCGATGTGATGGCCATGTTTCAGCATGTGTCGACTACTTCTCCACCATCTTTCCTCTCTCGTCCAAAATAGAGGCCTGGGGTCGGAAGAGATGGGGTCGGAGGATCGCGCCGCATCGCCGACACATCGGCGATGCATCGGCGACGCATCGATGATGCACTGGCGATGCATCGTCGACGTCGGCGATGAATCGGCGACGGCGACGCGAAGCAAATCGGGCCCCACATCGAGCCGCATCGGCGATGCATCGGCGATGCGGCACGATCGATCCTCCGACCCCATCAACTCCGACCCCTTCTGGGAGGCGGAGTACTCAACCATAGTTTTCAGGAATAGTCCGCAGACGATGTGTTGACTATGTTTGAACATTTTGTTTTATTCCCCACATCCTGAGTGGGGTTCTTGTTTTCCCAGAACACCCTCTCCTTCCCACCCACCTCCCGCTCCATCTTCCATACAGCACAATATTATTCCTACCACACACACCATACCATACCATAGTTCCTACACACACATACCATACCATACCATACCATACCATACCACACCATACGTACCATACCGTACCATACCATACCATGGCGTACCATAGCATACCATACCATATCACACCAATGCCACACCGTACCATACCATACCATACCTCCAGTACCATACCATACCATATCATACCATACCGTACCATACCATACCTACCATACCATTCCATACCACTCCACACCGAAAACCATACTACTTACATGGTTTCGTGCCCCTCCCACCCCTCCAGGGAGGCCCCGCCTGAACGAGGAGGGTATCGGAAAACCATACTATTTACATTGTTTCGTGCCCCTCCCACCCAGCCTGAGCGAGGAGGGTATCAGAAAACCATACTATTTACATGGTTTCGTGCCCCTCCCACACCTCCACGGAGGCCCCGCCTGAGCGAGGAGGGTATCGGAAAACCATACTATTTACATGGTTTCGTGCCCCTCCCACCCCTCCAGGGAGGCCCCGCCTGAGCGAGGAGGGTATCGGAAAACCATACTATTTACATGGTTTCGTGCCCCTCCCACCCCTCCAGGGAGGCCCCGCCTGAGCGAGGAGGGTATCGGAATACCATACTATTTACATGGTTTCGTGCCCCTCCCATCTGAGCGAGGATATCCATACTATTTACATGGTTTCGTGCCCCTCCCACCCCTCCAGGGAGGCCCCGCCTGAGCGAGGAGGGGAAAACCATACTATTTACATGGTTTCGCGCCCCTCCCACCCCTCCATGGAGGCCCCGCCTGAGCGAGGAGGGTATAGGAAAACCATACTATTTACATGGTTTCGTGCCCCTCCCACCCTCCAGGGAGGCCCCGCCTGAGCGAGGAGGGTATCGAAAACCATACTATTTACATGGTTTCGTGCCCCTCCCACCCCTCCAGGGAGGCCCCGCCTGAGCGAGGAGGGTATCGGAAAACCATACTATTTACATGGTTTCGTGCCCCTCCCACCCCTCCAGGGAGGCCCCGCCTGAGCGAGGAGGGTATCCGAAAACCATACTATTTACATGGTTTCGTGCCCCTCCCACCCCTGCAGGGAGGCCCCGCCTGAGCGAGGAGGGTATCCGAAAACCATACTATTTACATGGTTTCGTGCCCCTCCCACCCTCCAGGGAGGCAAAACCATATTATTTACATGGTTTCGTGCCCCTCCCACACCTCCAGGGAGGCCCCGCCTGAGCGAGGAGGGTATCCGAAAACCATACTATTTACATGGTTTCGTGCCCCTCCCACCCCTCCAGGGAGGCCCCGCCTGAGCGAGGAGGGTATCGGAAACCATACTATTTACATGGTTTCGTGCCCCTCCCACCCCTGCAGGGAGGCCCCGCCTGAGCGAGGAGGGTATCGGAAACCATACTATTTACATGGTCCTCCCACCCCCTCCCACCCCTGCAGGGAGGCCCCGCCTGAGCGAGGAGGGTATCCGCAAACCATACTATTTACATGGTTTCGTGCCCCTCCCACCCCTCCAGGGAGGCCCCGCCTGAGCGAGGAGGGTATCCGGAAACCATACTATTTACATGGTTTCGTGCCCCTCCCACCCCTCCAGGGAGGCCCCGCCTGAGCGAGGAGGGTATCGGAAAACCATACTATGTACATGGTTTCGTGCCCCTCCCTCCCCTCCAGCTTCTCCTTCGTGTTGATGTTGTCGTACCCCCTGGGTCCCACGAGACCGTTAATATCTTTATGTGGGGAACTCCGTTAGCATAATTTTTTTTCTGGCGCCATCGAGGCGAACATTTGCTGCGATCCGTTTGCTCAACAATACTGATATCCATGGCCTCGCTCGAGCAGAAATCTGCGCGCGCGAATCCAATGCGGTTCTTCAACCGGCGTAGTCTCCGCACGAATCCTACACGAGACCCGAATGTAGATATAGTCTGAGACTATGTTTGAACATTTCTTGATTCTTGGTCCAAGCTCCACCTGTAGGGGACACGACCTACAGCTGCGAGGAGCGTGCGCGTGCCTGGGCTTAAGTCGGGCCTGTCCCTCTACAGGGGGAACACTCACACATGGTCAAGAAGTAGTCTGGGGACTACTCTTCGAACATTTTTTGACCCAGTTGGACTATTTTTGGAGCATTTTTTACTTTTCGTCAAAAAACCCCATGTAGGGGGACACGCCCGACTTCAGCCTGGGCGCGGCTCCCTCCCTCTAAAACAGGGCTAGGATCGGGATACATCGCTCCAGAGCGTTCCGGAGCGCTCTCAGAGCGTTCCGGAACGCTCTCAGAGCGGCCGCGGCGCCCGATACATCCCCCAAACCCGCCGATTCTCAGAGACTTCGAGTTATCCCGATCCGATGTTGTCCCGATCTTCGCGTCGTTTTACGAGAGCCTCCCCGAGGTGCCTGGATCTCCCCGTCCTGGTCCGGCTTCCCCGCCTTGCCCCCCCGACGGAGAGGGGGCTGTCGCTGTGGAGGAGTAGGAGGAGGAGGAGGAGGAGGAGGAGGAGGGGGAGGAGGAGGAGGAGGGGGAGGAGGAGGAGGAGGAGGGGGAGGAGGAGGAGGAGGAGGAGGAGGAGGAGGAGGGTCTTCGCGTCGTTTGAACTTAAGCCAGGGCGCCGCGCCCTCCCTCTCCCGGCGGCCGGGGCCCGAGCGGCGGCCGAGCTCCGGCCAACCCGGGGGGGGTCTTCGTGCACTGCGGCGGGCGTGAGTCGGGGGCGCGCCAGCATGGAGTGGCGATCCCGTGGCGCTCCTCGTGGCGCTGGCGCTCCTCCTCCTCCTCCTTTTCCTCCTCCTCCTCCTCCTCCTCCTCCTCCTCCTCCTCCTCCTCCTCCTCCTCCTCCTCCTCTCCTCCCTCCTCCTCCTCCTCCTCCTCCCCCTCCCCCTCCTCCTCCTCCTCCTCCTCCTCCTCCTCCTCCTCCTCCTCCTCCTCCTCCGCCTCCTGCCCCTCCTCCTGACGCTGACCCTAGCACTTCCCCTCCTGCGGCTCCTTCAGTCGCTGACCATAACTGGCCGCGAAGCCTTTCTCGGGGGCGCGCAAACATGGATTAGCGATCCATGGATTTGGCGCGGACGCGCGGTAAGGACGCAAGACCCTTGGAAGCCGAAGTTGGGATTTTTGGGGCGGCGGACGACGAAAACCTCAAGGACGCAAGAGCAAGGAAGAGCAAGGACGCAAGGGTACCCTGAGCAAAGTCGCGCGTCCTTATTTGGGTTTTCGACTGTACGATGCCCAACATCAAACGTTGTTCAAAACCGACAGCGGCCGCTGCCGGCCAGGCGGCCTTCTGTCTCCAGTGGACACCGCCCGCGGCGACGCCGACAGCGCGTTTTGTTGTTCAGAATGGACAAGAGCTGCTGTCGGGCTTCGTCCCCGTTCTTTCTGTACCCCTTCCGACAGTACCGAGTGGCGAGACCGACTTTAGCGGGATGGGGTTGCACTACATAGAACCGGGCCCGAATCCACCATCCCAAAGATGGCAACGTTCAACGCGGGCTCCCCGGGCCCCCCTGGCGTCTCAGGCTGGGCGGGTATCACCCGGAAGGGCCCCTGCTGCGGCGCGCCTTGCAGCGGCCACGGTGGCGGCAGCGTCTGCTGCTGTGCGAGTCGCCGCCGGCGCCGCCTGGAGCCCCCTCTCCCCCCCCCTCCCCGCCCTGAGGGCGGCGAGCGGACCACCCGCCGGCGGGCGGGGTGGGCGGGCTCTGGTCAGGCGAGCGCCACTACCCGAAAGGCCCCCTGCTGCCAAAAGCGACAGCGCGGCCATCCCCTCTGTCCCATGGCCATCTCGGGGATCTTCTGACCCGGGTCAATCCAGACCCGGGTCAGCCAGGCCTTGCAGAATCCTGCAAACTCCTGCCAGACCCTGCACCCAAACCCGGGTCAATGCGAAGGATCCTGCAAGATCCTGCAGGATCCTGCACCCAAACCCAGGTCAATGGGAGCCTGGCCCTGCAGGATCCTGCAAGATCTCGCGCTCTGGCTGACCCCCGTTTGCATTGACCCCCGTCTCGAGGCTCCGGACCATCGCCGCCCCTCGCTGTCCCAGGCCGCCCCCGCCTGCAGCTGCCGCCCCGCCCCTGGCGGCCCCGCAACTGCCGCCCCCCCGCCCGCCGCCGCCCGCAGCACCCGCAACGATCCCCCAGGCGCGCCGGTGCCCGCCCCGCCGGCCTTCGCCACGACGACCGCCCCGACGACCGCCCCCGCCCCGAGGCTCACGTTTCCCCAATCGCTGCTACCGCAAAATGCGATGCCCTCCCTAAAATGCCGCTGGTTCCGCCTCGTTCGGCGGCGGGGATCCGCGATCTCCCACAGAAACAGTACCCGTCGCTGATCCATGCCCCCTTGATCCCATGTTTGCGATCACCTGAGTTAAGACGAAGCCAGGACGATGACGCGC